TCGGCGCGTCACTGTGCGGAATCGTCCGGTTCTCTCTAGAACCGGACGATTCCCGGTTTTTGAACCGATCAGGTCCCTTTTTCGTGAATTCCGAGTCGAACCGGGCGATTCCCGGTTTTTGAACCGATCAGGTCCCTTTTTCGTGAATTCCGAGTCGAACCGGGCGATTCCGGTTCGACTCGGCGATTTTTAAAACGCTGCTTCAGGCCAAAACAAAGAAATTTCCCCCTTTTTCAAGGGCTTTTATCCCAAAGGCAAAAATTCGCGCCAAAACGCATGCATAGTGTCCTTGTCTTAGGGTTTTTTTTTGCTGGCCAATGGATTTCAGTCCATTACAGTTTACAAAGAAGACTAGGGTTTCAAGTTTCAAGTTTCAACTTTCAACTGCGGAGAAAATTAGTGTTTCAGAGCTGAGGAGCACAGAAATTGGGGTTTTTTAGGTCCGCATACTGAGAATAAAGAATGGGAATGAACTCATACGAGGAGCTTAGAAACCAGAGGCTCCAAGAGAATCTCAAGCGTTTTAAGGCGAGAATATAATTTTTTCTTTCTTTTTTACTTGTTTTAGAGTTTTTTTCTCTCTCTGTTATTTCCATTGAAAGAAGCTCAGTGGATTTTTTGAACTGAACTGTATATCTCCAGCTCACTCCATTATTACTGAAAATTTTGGGTTTTTTTTGCCCAATATTTTTGTGCGGATTTTACAGGATTTAGGGCTTCAGAGTGTCTCCCTAGACCTTTCTGAGGCTTCCAAATCTGAAACCAAGACTATTGTGAGTTTTATCTTCACCATCTCCATCTCTCTCTCTCTATCTCTCTCTCTCAATTTCTAAAAATATATTTTCTATATTCCCGGCTTTTCGAATTTATGTGGCTTTTTTTTTTTTGTCGTGGGACTTCCAGCGGATGCTAAGAGAGAAAGTGTCTATTACGTATTTCATCCCATTTGGACTGCAACTTTTTTAATCTGTTTGTTTGATAGTCTTTTGGGAGTGTCTTTAATCTCGTAACCTGGTCTACATTTCTGTTTATTGCTTTGCTTCTGTCTGGGATGTTTAGTGGTTCCTAGAGAGAAAAAGCCTCTGATAACTTCAATTGATGATGTATAGGAAGTCCAAGGATATGAACTGTTCTCTCTTGGACCAGTGATCCTTAATTAGTTTGTCATTTATGTTCTAAATCAGTGTTTATAGAATAGTGATCAGGTGCCAACTCAGGCACCTGCTGATCCATATTGGCTTGCCTATTTCAGATGAGTCGTCCCAAAAGGTGAGGAAAATAAATGATAAAAATAGAAAAAAAATATTCTGGGACTTGGGAAATGTCCAAGCCCCTACAGTACCCGAACTGCTTCATACTGGACAATATGAGCCATTTCTGGTTGGGGACCATCTTGAGCCAAGGAACCCCCAAGGATTTCATGTAGGCTCTCTGGTTTCACAACGATGGTTTTAAATGCCCTCTGGTTTTTGCTCCATCTAAATTTGCTCGCACTACTTATCAAATCCCTTTCATACTTCCATATCTAGACCCCATACCTATAAATGGTTTAGAAAAATATATACCAGAGCTTATGGCCGAGGAAATATACACGGCAGTATATCAAGTATGGTTAAGGATATGTATATCATACACTGTTGTATGATATATAGTACATCACCAGGATATCTATCATATTTTCCTGATGATGTATGGTGAAGATTAATCCAATCCTGGTGAATGACTAATCATCAGGAACTATAGCTAGACATTGTATAGTATACTTTCTAATGCTTACTACTTGTAAATATTGTTTTTTGTTTTATATTTAGGACTCATGATTCCTTTTTGTTGTACGGGCTATTTTGTTTATGTATAATTGGAAGTCTTACATGGATGATTGAACTTCATTAATATGTTCCATTTTGGAGGAGACCGCTACATATAATGTTGTTTTTCAGAAACCATTTGTATATCTAACATGAATTTCTTTCCCTGTTTTATGTTCTTGAAAGCAACGTACTGTAAAGCCACGCTCAAAGGGAAGTGATGAGGAGTTCATGATACTGCGACGATCTTCTAGAGCTTCAAAAAATCCTGTTCCGGTGTATCATGAAGTAAGATCTTAATCTCCCAACTTTTATTGCTTCAATTACATAGTGGAGTCCTGATCAGGATGATACTTAGTCATGTTAGGCTGTCTTGTTTATGATAGCCTTCATACCTATCAGCTCATATATTCTACAAGTTCTGTTGGCATTTCACACAATTTTCATTGAATAAGCACATACGCATAATCCAATGGTGTATGAAATTTTGGTTCATTTGGATTATTGCTGTCCAATGACATGATGGAAGGTGCTGGAGGGAGAGATATCCTATTTATGTTATATGTACATTCCCTATATAAATTTTGTGCATATGTGTGAAGTGATTCATGTGTACATGAAAATTTTTGTCTTGACAGCCTTGTATTCAGATTCAAAGCATTATCATGCTCAATATAAGAATATGTCATGATCTGATTGACTTCGATTAGTTATTCTCTTTATTCATGGCAAAATATTCACTTCACTCTTTCTTGGGTTGATACTAATTACTCCATTGTTGTTGGATTTATAACAGGTTGGTACAATCCTTCCACGCTACCGAATGAGGTCAATGCCTGGATAATTGAGCATTAAGTTAAGTGGTAACTCTTTACGAAGCATTCTTTGAATTGATCAAGTTGGCTTTTAATATACAGATTTGCCAGAAAGTCATCTCGTGGTGGTGATATAAGGTATGCTTCTGATGAAGAACGAATCTATGCATTTAAAAAGGCGGAGAAGCTTCAAAGTAATCTAAAATCAGGACACCCCTCTTTTGTAAAACCTATGGTGCGGTCACATGTATCAAGCTGTTTTTGGCTGGTAAGATTGTTGATCAGAAAGAGGGTTGTTAGTATCTATGGGAATAATTTATATGAATGTTGTTCTGCCACTGCTTCCCATAGACTTTATTTGGAAGTCATAATCTCTTGAAAACTTGAAAGACAGTTGTGAATTGCAGGGGTCTGACTCTTTCTACTTAATTTTATTTGACTTTTTGCGCTCATCTAATTTTTTCAAAAGGAAAGTATAATATAATCGAATGACTATGGAAAAGCATTGTGCATTGAGGTCATTAACGTCCATTGAAATTTTTGACAGTGATAGAGGGAGACTAGGACCACCCCATCAATCATTCTATATGTCTCAGTCATTTTATATGGCATTAACATGTAGCCCTTTGTGATTAGAGAGAGAGGGAGAGAGGGATTTTCTAATTTATAAATGTTTGGGTGTGGTATTTGAGTGCCATGGCATCAAAACAGAAATAAGGGTTATTTTTGTCCAAAAATCTGATATATGCGGGTCCAAAAATCTGAATGCTATTGTATAGATTGATTATCCCATAGGACTATGGTTTTTCAATAGCACATTGGATTATATTATACTTTCTTCTTAAGAAAGTTCAAGCTGATGGTGAAGCTGCCGTATCCTGGCCATATTTGCCAGTTGAGATTTGACATCGTATAATCTACCATTTGTTCATATTTTCAGGGACTTCCCTCAAAATTTTGCCGGGGCCACCTTCCTCGGAAAGATTCAACGATGATTTTGGAGGATGGAGATGGATTAGAGTTTGAGACCAATTATATTGCAAGTAGAGAAGGGCTCAGTGGGGGGTGGAAAGGTTTCGCAGTGGACCATAAACTGGATGATGGGGATGCATTGGTTTTTGAGTTAATCGAGCCTACAAAATTTAAGGTCAGCCTTAGATTATTATTTTTTTTAACATTGAAAATGGTTATATTGGGATTGTTTCATAAGATTGTCATGTGGTCTTGTCTTTTGTAGTGCTTAAATTGCTGTTATTTGAAAATCATAGATTCCCACTCGAACAATTAGAACCTCAACTCTATCGCGCTATCAAGGGTGTTGAGTAATATACCATTTCTACAAGATCACCCTCTCAATTTGCATTAGGTTCGAGTTAAATGTCTCTAAGTTTTTTGTCGTATAGGTGGGTAGTTGTCTTGAATTGTTGCAAGATGAAGTAGGCATCAAGTGTTCAATTATATGTTTTAGGCATCAACAATAACTCACAACAGCCATTTCAAGCTTCAAAATAAAAATAATGGAAAACCATGTGAAATGAGAATGCAAATTTCCATTCTATTTAGTTGACCTGTAAGAGAGATGTATGAATTGATTCTTGGTGAATTTTCCTAAAATTTTGAGGTCTGTGATTTGTGAATTACCCGTGTACGAACTAGTGGAGGGACAAGTGAGTTTTCAGTGATAATAGGTCTATATCAAGGGTCAGCATTGAGCCCATACTTCTTTGTCTTAGTTATGGACGACTTAACTAGGTACCTTTAGGATGAGGTACCGTGGTGTGTGTTGTTCGCAGATGACATAGTTTTGATCAATGAGACCTGAAATAATGTCAACACAAAGTTAGAACTTTGGAGGGATGCACTAGAATCCAAAGGTTTTAAAATTAGCCGGACTAAGACATAGCAAATGAAATGCAAGATTAGTAATAATAAGAGTAGAGACGAGGAAGTAGTTAAGATTGATGGTCAGAAAGTACAAAAAATATCGTACTTTCGATATCTTGGGTTGATAATCCAGGAAAATAGAAAGATTGAGGAAGACGTCGCACACAAGATTAGATCTGGGGGGCGAAGCGGAGATGTGCAACTGGAATTTTATGTGCTGCCGCATACCAATGATGCTGAAAGGCAAGTTCTATAGGACAATTGCGAGACCAGCTTTGCTCTATGGGGTGGAATGTTGGGCGCGCAAAAACAATATACCCATAGAATGAGTGTAGCGGAGATGAGGATGTTCAGATGGATGAGTGGCAAGACAAGAAGGGATAGACTTCAAAATGAATCCATTCGGGAGAATTTAGGTGTGGCACAAATAGGAAATAAGATGAGAGAGGGTAGACCTAGGTGGGCTGGCCATGTGTGGCGTCGACCAACTACAGCACCTGTTAGGAGGTACGAGTTGGTTGAAGTGGAAGGGACTTAAAAGAGCAAGGGGTAGGCTCAAAAGGATGTGGTTGGAAGTAGTCCGAAAAGATGAGAGCTTATAGACTCACTGAGGATATGACCTTTAATAGAGTCGAATGGCGGACCAGGATTCATATAGGCTACCCCAATTAATTGGGAAAAGGCTATGATGATGATGATGATTTGTGAATTACCCATTGCAAGAAAAATAAAAATAAAAATAGAGAGAGTCAGAAAAGTCTAGGATTTTGAATTGTTTTAAAGCAGCATAGGTTGCAACCGAGTGCAATTGGCATATAATGGGTCCCATTGATCGTTTCAATACATGCAAGGGATTATTATTAAGGTGTCACTCAAAATAACACAAATCATTAACTATAGC